CTACTGCTGGAAACGGTTGAACATTAACCATTTCATTTTGGTACAGTGACTCTGTGTATTCCTTCCAAAATATGACCCAAGCAGCTAGAAGCCCTGGAAGGAAGCCTGAGTTGAAAATGTTTTGGTCATGAATTGAATTCAGTTTTGGTCATTGAATTAGAATTCAGTGGTGCCCTCTCTTGATTGGGGTCCTGGTGGGTCACTGTAGGATAAGCGCTGGACTGCTAACCACAGGATCAGCAGTTCAAATACACCAGCTGCTCCCCCCAAATTCATACAGGGTTGCTATGAGTTGCAACTGATTTGACGGCAGCATCTCTCTTGACGAGTCATTGTGTTGGACTCTCCAGGGCATGTTCTATCTGTCTCATTGTTACAGCCAATAGGAGGTGTGGTGTGCTCTGCTGACAGATTAGAATAGGGAGAGTGAGCGATTTCAGTAACTTGTGGAAACATTCCACATAAAAACAGACTATCTTGAATGACATGCTTCCCACCTTGTGGCAGTCTGGGTGTGGACTTTCATCAGATGGTCAGAACCACCTTGGACTTGAGTAAAATGGTCCTTCCCATTTCATCTTGAGCCCCTCCTCCCCACCACCATCCCCTAACTGTGGCTTTGTCTGTCTCCAGGTGCCTGAAGAAGCCCTTGGATACTCTCACAATAACTAATTGCATGCTTTTGGAATCTGATGTGACACACCTGTCCTTTGGCCAAACACCAGTCACCTAATGGACATGAACTTGAGTGATGTCAACCTGACTGGCATAAGTCCTGAGTTCCTCCAAGTTCTGCTAGAACTCAGCCCCCCTCCAGTACCTGGGCTTCAGAGGCTGTGGGGTCACAGACTTAACCTCACAGCCATCTTGCCTACCCTGAGCCACTGCTCCCATCTCGCTACCTTCACCTTCTATGGAAACCTAGTCTTCATGGCTGTCCTAGAGGGCCTGCTGCAGTCACTGTCCCATGCAGCAAGTTCAGATTCGGGCTGTTTCCTGCACCCCTGGAGAGTTACATGGACATCCAAGATACTCTTGACCTGTCTGTCCTAAACACGGGGCTTCTACAGAACTACCTTTATGGGCTCAAATTAACAACAACAACTCTAAAGTTTAGATAGGAAGTTGATGGGAAGGACAGGTGTGGGCAGTGAGTTTCTGTTAATGGGGAGGAACAACTCCACAAAGGTGGGTAGAAGGGTTGCACAACTTGAATGTAATCTACGTCACTGAGTTGGAAATATACAAACTGTTAGATTGGTGTATGTTTTGCTGCTTATATTAAAATTTTTTAATTTAAGAAATAAAGACACGGAAGTATGTCAAAATTCGTTTTAGTGTTTTCTTAAGAATCAATTGATAATGGTTACAGGTGGAGGGGAGAAACGGGGAAGGAAAATTATTCACAGACTAGAGAGTATACAGATGGTAACATGAGTGACAAGGGTAGACAATATACAACAAGACAGAGGTTAGCAGAGGGAAGATGAAGGTAGCAGGAGACATGAGGAATGCAATAATTAAAGTGAAGACAGGTAAATGCTGTTAACTGTTGGTACATGGAGGGGATTGCAACCATATAATGAAGCAAAGTTTGTGATTTATTGAATGTGAAACTGATGATGATCTGCTCTGTAAACCTTCACTCAATTCACAGTGAAAAGTGTTGCTTTTAATTCCTTTCAGCAAAACGCTAAGATCATACAGGTATATAACAAGCTTTAGTATTTTTATTCCACAGTTTACAAATGACATTGTTTAGGGAGCTAGGTGGTATTGGCAAGACTGACTTTCTTCCCACAAGACCTGGCCCTTTCAAACACGTGGGTGACCAACTCTGAACCCTGACTTTCAATTCCAACATGAGCCAACACCTACCAGTCCTGAAGAGTAGTTAGGCGGGAGCAGGTAAAGAGCTGGACTTGGAATGAACCCTCCAAAGTGCAATCCATCCAATCCAACCA